CCTCACACACAAAGCTGCATTTCTCTCTTTGGCTTCACTTTTTCTTCCTCAGGAAGCCAAAACTGCTGGGTGTGGTGTGAATGTATTTAAAGGGTTAGTTCACCCAAAAGTGAAAATTAGTCCATAAATTACTCCCCCTCAAGTCATCCTAGGTGTATATTACTTTCTTCTTTCAGACGAATCCAGTCGGAGTTATATTAAAAATTGTCTTTGATCTTTCAAGCTGTTTTATGGCACTCAGCAGGTGTTGCAGTGCATCAGTCCAAAAGAAGTTAAATAAAAAGCGCCCATCCATAAAAAAGTGTCTCACACGGCTCCGGGGGGTGAACAAAGGCCTTCTGTAGCGAATCGATGCGTTTTTGTAAGAAAAATATCCATATTCAAAACGTAATAATCACTTTAATGTAGCTAATGTAGTAAAGAGACCAAGTGGTTTAAACAACGTTTTGTCTCATACTAAAGTTTTAAAAAGCTGATTTAACTCAGATTATTCTCACAGTCACACAGTTTCATACTGCCTGTGCTTTTTACTGCAGCGATCTGCATCCTACCATGTCTCAATGGAGGACGCTGTGTAGCTCCATACCAGTGTGAATGTCCAACAGGATGGACTGGCACACGCTGCCATAATGGTAAGAGTGTGTGTTTGTGTATAATGACTTGTGATTGTCGTCGAAAAAATGTATTACATAAATGTTGATTAGTAGCAGAATAGTTAAAGGGACAGTTCACTCAGAATGAAAATTCTGTCATTAATTACTCACCCTCATGTCGTTCCAAACCCATAAGACCTTCGTTCATCTTCAGAACATCTTTGTTCATGTGTGTGATGCTGCTGACGTAGAACACACATGCACTGAGTCTTGTTTACGAGCAGAGGAATGCACATGCATGTCGTGGTACTCTGGCAGAAGATGGCAGAAGACGGTAACTCGGGGGAGAAGAATTGTTGAATAAAGTTGTTGCTTTCTTAGTGCACAAAAAGTAGCTTTGTAAAATGATGGTTGAACCACTGATGTCACATGGACTATTTAATCGATGTCCTTACTGCTTTTTTGGGCCTGGGAATATTACAGTTGCGTTGCTGTCTATGGAGGGTCAGAAAGCTCTTGAATTTAATCAAAAATACCTTAATTTGTGTTCTGAAGATGAACGAAGGTCTTACGGGGTTTGGAACGACATGAGGCTGAGTAATTAATGACAGTTTTTCATTTTTGGGTGAACTATCCCTTTAACTAGTCAGAGCAGCCTCTAATGTTGTCGGTCTTGTATGAGTAATTAAATAACAAATCTACAACTTTGAGGAAGTAGGAACATCACCTGCTTTATTGAGTCCTGACAAGTTGAAACGAATGAAACACAATTAGTGATAACCTCACAGCATTTAATTATAGCCAATTTATGAAGTCTAGAGAACATCTGTCATTCCCTCAAGCTATCTGTGATCTTGAAGATATAAGTCTTAGTTCAACTATAAAAGCTGCTATTTAGGGAAATATCTCACCATTAACTAAAGACATCATGCTAAACAAATTAAACTTAAGAGTTTAAAAGTAGGGTGGAGTGCAGTGATTAGAGTGATTACAGACAGAAGGACCTCATGGTGGGATGGGGGCCGGGGCTCATTCTCCCGGGGTCATCCTATGTCATACTCACGTTGTTGCCAGGCAACACCTGTGACAACAGACTCTAATAGTGATATGCAGTAGATCCCAGGAGCCCAAGCAATAAAACAAAACACAATTATTGAAAACACATAGGGGCAGTTGACATAAGTTATGACATAAATAATGTTTACACCATAATTTACCTTCAGTTATTTTAAACAGCATTTTTCTAATTATACTACATTTAGTTTTATGAACTCATAATAATTGGCAGCCTACATAGAATATAAAAATTAAATATAAGTGAAATGCAAAACATGTAATAGGTGAAAACACCTTATTAAAAAATTCAGAGAAATGATGACCAGCATCTAAAAACATACAGTTTGTATTATAGCAAATATATTATAACATTATAATATTTGTATTATAACAAATTTACTATATTTCAATAAAATATATACATTTTTCATACTTATTATTAACCTGAATTTAAATTAAGTTTAATGTTTTATATATTTAAACAGATTTTATGTCACCATTTAAGTCTAACATGTTGTTTTTGTCTAGTTTAACCTGAACTGTTGCTGAAACAACAGGTTTTCTTTGACATATTGATGTGTATTCATGCATTTGCTTTCACAATACCATGAATATCTGCAGAATGTATGACTTATAAAGACCAAGAACACATTTACAATACCACACACTTCTTATTTTTACATTTCTTAATGAAAAGATTTATTGAGAACACCACCAGCAGGACTGTAACTGCATGCATTGAATGGTCTTTAAATCTCCAGCACCAAGACAAACAAACCTACTTGTTGAGTTGCTCAAATACATTAAAGCAAACCTGATTTGGTTTTGCATACTCAAGTACAGTATTTACTGTATGTCACTTGCAGTGTTTGTTCTATAGATTTTTACCGATTACTCACTGGTTTTCATTCTGCTGTTGTGGTCAGACTCTTTGTGTTTTGTCTCGACCGGTGTTGATTCATATGTCAGGACAAAGGTCTCTAGGGCAAAGAGGAATTCTAGAAATGCTTGATTCCTCTGAAATTACAGGGGGTTAAATGTTCCCTTTTAAGAACCCATCTGATTGTGCTCCAAAACAGACTATGTGAATGTATGTGTTAATAAAAGAAAGAATGTAGTTCCTCTCCTTTTTCTTTAAAGGTCCCATATTTGACACCTTTCTGGAGTTTTATTTTAGGTTTTGATGTCCTTAAGAATATATGTTTGTGGTATAAGTACGGAGAGTGGGACGGTGGGCGGTGCTCGGGGTGGTGACTGAAGGCGGTGACTGTGTAGTTCTGACGTCAACGTTTTACGGAAGTCACAATGGTTCTTGAAAAATCACAGCTACTTTATGCAGGCTGTGTGAATTTTACTGTGGACTGACTGTTTTGAAACTTATATGGTAGTTACATAGCACCTAGACCTCAGTTATCATGAAAAAAGCCAGGAAATTTCAGTTTTGACAATATGGGACCTTTAAAACTCCAGCACCAAGACAAACAAACCTATTTTCTGAGTTGCTCAGATACATTAAAGCAAACGATAAGAAAGATACACCAAGATAAACCTACAAAGACAGACAAGTTATACAAGTTAATTATATAAAGCAACAAAATGCACTGAAGAATGTGTTGCTACAAGTATTATTACTTGTTTATAAATCACTCAGTGGCCTAGGACCTCAATACATTGGAGATATGCTCACTGAATATAATCCTAACAGAAGTCAGAAACACAAAGGGTCCACACAAAAAAAGTGAGTCAGCTTTTAGCTATAGTGTCGGCTGCAGATGGAACCAGCTTCCAGAAGTGATTAGATGTGCTAAAACGGTCGCCACATTTAGATCCAGATTCAAAATCTGTTTAGCTGTGCATTTACTGAATGAGCACTGTCCTACATCCAATTGATTGCACTTTATTTCATTCATATATCCTATTATTGATCCTTTTTTAAAAATTAATATTAAATCAATTGATTTTATTGTAGAATTAATGCACTGGATTATTGGCTAATGAGAGTATTTTTTATGTGTGTTCTTAGCGGTGTGTTCCATGCCCTGTTTGAATGGAGGCCGGTGTATCCGACCTAACAGGTGTCACTGCAGTCAAGGATGGGGAGGATATGACTGCTCTAGGTAAGCCACACACAAACTAGGTATATGTGACGTATTCATATTAACATACGCATTTGGATACATGCACATTACATAGAAGATTTGGAAACATTTGATGTACCACAGTCCTCAACACTTTCCCAGCATATTACAAGGAACACTAAATCACTCAGCTGGGAGATTCCAGGCGATTGTGAAAGACGAGTAAGGAAACCATAAGTAAATACAGATAAGAACCAGCCTTCTCTGAACTCTGCTGTGTGTACCAGTAGGTGAATTTGTGCCTCAGACACACCTAGTTTCATTATATCTCTCACAGTAAACCTACATTTCCCAGAGCACTGCAGTTGGTCTCAATCCAATCATTGAGTGAGCAGAGGGATAGGAAATGGATACTGCTGCCAGTTCTATTGTGATTCATTCTTTTAAGTAATTAGATTCTTTCCCATCTTTATTTCACTGATTCAGTACCAATGTCAAGATTTTATTGAGCAAATACAGTCTCTCAGTTAAGTACTATTGATCTGACAGTTTTTGCTATTAGTGTTTCCAGCTAGTCGGCTTGATACCCGCATCCCTCAGCTAATTAGATGCTGCAGCCTTCGTTGCAGGTTAGAGTGATTCACATTTAGATTTACTGGGCACTTGGTCGATTTAAGATTCAAATGAGCTTAAATACTTTTTCATGGTCTGTGTGAACTGTACAAGCAAATGCACCATTGCCTCAAGCAAGTGCTATCATAAATGTTTGAAAATTATTTAGTGATTATGGTGGCAATATATGGGTCCAAAAGAATTTTAACGGTCTTCAGCTGATCTTTGATTATTAATAATTGTCTTTCAGAAAAAGAAGATCTGGATACTTTCATTTTTAATGTGCCACGCTACAAGAGTTCAAGTCTGAATGTGTTGGAACAAGATGGCATAATGTCAGAGATTTGTATACAACATGTATTTTTTTCATGTAGAAATGAAACAGTATTAAATATATGCTGCTGCTATATACATGAACTTGTACGATGTGTAAAAATGTTGATGTGATTGTCCAATGTACATGTATATAAACTATTCTTTTCATGTTTTTATTAAAACAGAAAACACAACTATATGAAAACCAACTGTAATTCTCATTCCCACAGTTAATTATGAAGAATTCTCAATTAAACTTTCAGATTGTTCTACTTGCTTGTCTCATATGACTAATAAACATTTGACGTGAACAATTTGATACAACCAGCACAATACGAGAACGTTGTAAAAGTCAACTTTTCATTACCTTTAATATTTTAATTTCATACAAAGCCAACATAAAATACATTAGAGATAGCCATTATAGAGGGCCAAAACCTTTAACAAAAGTCTTACTTCTGTTTCTGTATATACACTAAAATAAAACAGGATATAAATGAAGCAGCCAAAATTAGAATGAGTTAGAGGTTGAGAATTGTTTTTTTCTGCGTATATTAGTTATTACAGTGGTTGGTTTGTGTTTTTCTTCATTTATGCTTATTGATAATCTCCTCCAGTTTAGCGTGATTTGATCCAGAAAATTCATCAATCTGAGAAAAAAAAAAGAAAAAAAAGCTGAATCAGTTACAGCACAACAAGGAGGAACGAACAGGTTAAAAAAAGATCACAGAAATGGAACAGAAAACCTCCAGAGATGATGATGCTTTACCTTCTTTCCATTCTTGTAGAAATGGAATGTTGGCATACATTTGATGTCACAGAAAGTGGCCACATCCTAGACAGAGAAAGAGGGAGTGGAGATCAGGTCTGAATAAGTTTATTCAGTCTACTGTGTAATGATAAGCATCTTTAATAGTGTCTTTTCATTTTGCTTAGCCAGTCTGAACACTTTTGTAAAAGAGGGATGAAATTATGTCCACAGCAGGACTCGAAGGCTGTCGAAATAAAAAAAAAAATCCATGATATGTTTAGAAAAAAATAATGTGTTTCATATTCATTTCATCTTAAAATTATGCTTGCCGCCATTCCTGAAATCAGTCACAAAAATGTCCGCTGGATATGCGCACTGTTATCAGAACCTTCAAATGCTCGGCTCACATTTGCCATCCTTATCTTGCGATTTAAATGTCAGGCAAAAAGCATGACATTTCAACAAATCGCAAACATGTATCAAGAATTCAACTTTCGAATATACACACATCCCGTCCCGTCCCCCATCTGCTTTGCAACACAGCATTGTAATAATAGCTAGTGTTTGTAACCATAACAACATGGGCAACCAGAATTGTCCCATTTTGTCACTGTCTCGATCTACCTCTGATAAAACTGAATGACAGCCAATATCCTTTCGGAGCGCTATCCCGTGAATCAAATAACACAGTATCAGCAAGCCGATCAGGAGAACAGCAACCGGGTGTGCTGGGATGTTCTAATGTGTTTGGGTCGCTTACAAAAGGTTAGGCGGATAGCGAGGCCAGTATTCAAATGAAAGTAACACAGTAAAACCCAGATGGTGAATCTATGTGAAAAGGGTGTTTTGTTCATTTGGCTCAGAAGTCTGTAGGCTTTCAAGTGTATTCATCAGAGAAAAAGACACCAGGTGACTAACCTGTGCATCATCCACATCCACCTTTAGAAACACGACATTTCCGTTCTCTTGTTTTTCAGACAGCGTCTGTGGAGGGAAAAAAGGCGGTTGTAAAAAGCAAACCACAAAGCTCGCAATCAAAGCACTTCCTTTGAACTTAATATTTCATTCCTTCCGTTTCATCTGTGAAATTTGCATATGCTTGCTTTTGTTGTCTAAACCAGGTAAAAATGTATGTGTGCACTGAGTAAAGGTAAAAGTGAACAACCACAAAACATGTAGGCTACATATGGCTGAGGTTGGTGGTTAGTTGTCAACCACCCCAAAATCTCAGTGTAGCCTATGTATTGTCTAATGTATGTATAAGGAATGAATCAGCAGTCTTTTGTCTTTTATTCCTCTCTTCTTTCTTTAGCAGGACTGCCTTTCATTTGCATTCTGTGAATGATTCATGCTTTAATTCTTAAGGAAGCTTCCCTGTCGATTGCCCCGACAACACAGCACAACAACAGAGCCACTCCCGGTGATTCCGGAGGCCTCTATAGAAGACATGACAGCTCCAGATGTCACTCTGAATCTCGGATGCGGTGACATATTCAGCAGTGCATGAATGCTCACTTTAAAGACTGGAGCAATGTTCTGGCAGGGCCCACACCATGTGGCTGTGAAGTCCACCACCACCAGCTTGTTCCCAGCATTTTTCAGAGCATTGTCGAAGGCAGACTGCAGAGAGAGGAGGAAAAGTAGATTCAGTTTCCAAACTGACATGACACATTCCTTCCTACTGAGGTTCACTGAAATGGGTGATGATGAGTCATAATGCTATGGTTTAATCAGAGTGACCAAGACATTCAAATATTTACAAAAGAGCCATGGCCTATGACTAGAAAGGGGTGACACAGCTTTTGCTTTTCTATTTGAGATACTGAAATACATATCCTTTTTAGTGAAATTACACTGATGCAAAACAAACACGTAGGCCTACTACTTTATTGTAAATTAATATCTGATACATTTTAATGGTGATGGTACAAAAAAAAATATGTACACGTATGTGTATTTTATTGCATTTGTTTAAATTCCTTTATGACTTTGTAAGTAGCATCATAAATCAATTTAAATGTAGATCCTGTTTGAACTGCATGTAGGCCTATATTAATGTTTGATCCTCGGATTTTGCATGTCTAAAACCAAAACACTTCAGAAGAACACTCCATATGAGAGAAAAAGCAGCTCGTTTGAATAGCCTACTACTACCGATGGATCGAATCTGATTTTTAATTAACCTATTGACAAACAGGTCTGGAAGATTAGTTCAATGCAACGGATTGAATCGATCTGAGCAGAGTGTCACTGACTCACAACTTGGCTTGACTGACTTACAATGATTCAAACGTTTAGAAAATCAGCCAAAGTAATTGATTTTTATTATATAATGTAAATTATATTTAGATTTAATTATATATTTATAAGGTGAAGTATAGCTGAAATAAACACAATCAATTACAAAAGCACCCTCCACGTGGCTTTATTGTAACATTAGAGTAACATGACAACAGATGGATTTCTGCTTCAGACTTTATATCAGAGACTGCGCCGGGACGTAATTACGTGACAAAATAAAGAACCACTGAATCAGTTTGTGAAATGAACTTTTCGAAAGAACCGATTTGAGTCGGATCTCCCATCACAACTGCACAGATGTTTACACAAGCAAACACTTTCTAACTAACAGCCACTTATTAAATCGTACGTTTTATGTCCTGTTTAAAAAGTAACTGAGAAAAAATGTACTTCTCGTTTTGTACTTTTCATTACTGTACTCTGCTTTGAGGTTCTGTAGAACACTAGAAACCAATACACGTTCTTGTGTGTAAACGTTTCCGCCCACATTTGTTCCGCAAGCAGCGTTTCGTTAAAAAAAAACTACATGCGGTTATAGCTTATTTTTATCTATATAAAACGTATTTTTATTAAAGTTATTAACCTATTCGAATAATTTTTTTTTTCATAGACATCAGAAGTCAAACATAATTAACGTACATTACCTATAAAGAGTTACAGTCAAAGTCAAGGTAGCAGCTCAAATATTGGTATTATATACATACCTTATCCTCAATTATGATAATCATTTTGATGATTTTGATGTCTGTCTTCTACTGGTCTACTGTGTACGTCTTCTGAAAGCTCCTGCTTCATTGACAGTCAGAGTAGCAGCCCGCATCATAGCGTGAACACTGTCAAGTAGCCCCGCCTTCAATGAAGACAACGGACCAATCATGGAATTATGCGGTTCTGTAACCCCGCCTACCACTACACAACACAAATATATATAATCAGCAGCTAAAGCTCAGTAAAAGCCATATACGAACGTTTTGCGCAGCTTGATGCATACATATTTAGATGTAACCTCTATAAGGAGTGAAGCATGCTCATTTATCTTGAAAGACCATCACTAATCCTGGTTTTGCTATGAGCAAGTCAGAATGACTTGACAGATTCCGGATTTACAGATTTACTGTACGCGACGTGACGTCACCGAGAGTAGTGGTGGATTACTAAACTGTAGTAGGCTATTCTTATTAATTTTTTATTATTTTTTCTTCTTTGTCTTCCTATATAATTTCTGTATTCATAATGTCATCCAGTGTTACATTAATTGTTGAATGTTAAGAGGTTATACTTGCAATAAAAAAAAAACTAGTAGGCTATAAAAACTGTTTGTATAGCCTACTATGCACACACATTCTTGCACATGTATAGTGCATCAAATAGTAAACAAAGAACATTCAATGTCTTTTTTGACAGCTTTTACAGGTTTTTAGACATACAAACTGTATTATCACAGAAGAACGCATGCTGACATGTTCTGAAAACTAACACTAATCACTAATCTTACCTGATAGACAAATAGCTAAGGTAATACAAGGAGATACAAAAACAATTACAACAGCAAATGTTTCAACCTATTTAACCAAAAAAAATATATATATATTTTAGTCACACTTTCTACTATACAGAATCACTGTGACTCAAACCCTCAGATCTTCTGCTTTTGTATATTCATTGTTGAACAAGCCAGTCCTTAAGACAACCTATTTTAATACCTTTATCTTGAAAGCACACGTCTGTAATTAATAACTAATGTATAGACACAGTCCCTAATAAAATGTTCTCTTGAATTCATGTCCAGTTGTTTAACCCTGTCCTCTAGTGGCTGTAAAATGCAATCATCAACTTATTTTTTTACTCAAATGTTAATGTAGGCTACTTTACTTTTCTGTGTTAAGCATTCGGTTTACATTATTTTGTGCTAGACACTAATCTAACTGTCTGCTCATTAACAAACATGTTTTACTGCGATTTTGTGTCTATTTCACAACCTTCAAGTACAGAGACACTTGGAATCATGAAATATTTCAAACAAGTTTCTAAAGTACATTTAGAGGTTTAGCCTCAACAACGAGAACATGTAAATGTGTTGTGAAACTTGTCTGGTTACACAGTTTCATTAGAACTAACTGAATCCTGTGAAGACATATCTGCATGTTGGAGTGGTGACAACAGCTGACATGTTCTGAATCATCTCTTCTTCTTCGTCGGCCATTTAAGTAGATTCTATGCGTTTCTTTAGAATTGTTTGTGGCGCAGCAAAAATATCGTTTTGCTTTTTACATTTTTTTAATTCTAGAACCCTGAAGAATGACAAAAAATTACTAAAAAAATAACAGAAATAATGAACATTATTAATCAGACAAGGAAGATATGGGAAGGTATGACCATATACAACATAAATATGAGGCTTATGTGGTTTTATTTGTAAACATATTGAAGTGAAAGACAGTTAAAATAGTGAAATTTGAAAAAAAAAAAAAAACTTGGTGGACAAGTATGGGATTCATTTGGTTCCCTGGACCTTTAGACACAAACAGACTACACTAGGTTTTTCTGTCTACACATATTCAAGTTACCCAAATGTGTCATAGGCTATTGTATTTTATGTAAAAACACAACAGATGGATTTCTAAGCATGCTTCAGACTTTAACAATAGCCTTCCCAAGTCCATCGCCCTTCAGCATCCTTATGAAGGCAGCTGGCATGTTCTCAAAGCCAACTGTGACCACTTCCTTCGCCTTCAGTTTGCCCTGCAGGAAAACAATTCAATGTGTCTACAAACCAGTTCTCTTTCTCATTCACAGGCTGGTGTTGTTATATGCTGTGTAATGGCAATTATCTAATGAAGGGTGTAACGATAGGTGTAACGATTATGTTCCGAATGATTCATTTCTAAAGCAGCTTACCTCTTTCATCCATTTAAGCATTCTCTTGATAGATTCTGCATCTTTGTGTTGCCAAGATCTCACCATAAAGCCTTCTATCTTCAGTTGCCGTGTAATTATTTCGTGGCGAGGATAAGGACCTGTGAGACAGAACAGATTCAATAGCTTAATGTTAGATTGCTTAGATTTTGCATATCCTATACTGTCCTCTAGTGGTTGTAAAGTGTAACAATTTAAAATATTTGTTTTTTCTCCAATATCTTCTAATATTAAAATGTGACTTTTTTCCCTTGAAGGGGCTCAGTAGAAATGAGACGTACACATCTGTGGTGTTGTGTCATTGTAATTGGCTATTGCACCGCAAACAGCGACCTCCTGGCTTCATGTTTTTGAGTGCTTCGGTAAAGAAGGGACCTCCCACCTAAAGAACATGAAGTAAAAGATTTGTTAACAAGTACCAGACTGTATTTTAGACAAAAATACACATATAAAGTCAATTACATTCTCAAAGTAGCAGTCGTATCCTTCAGGTGAAGCGTTCTTCAGCGCTTCCTCTAGTGAGGAGACAGTCTTGTAGTTGAAGGCCTGGTCAAAGCCCAGCTCTTTTAGGTATGCCACCTTGTCATCACCTCCTGCTGAACCCACAACCTTGCAGCCTTTGATCTTGCAGATTTGCCCCACCATCGCACCTACAGCACCTGCTGCTGCGCTCACCAGAATCGTCTCACCGGGCTGTATCTTACACACCTCTTCCAGACCATACAGAGCAGTTAAACTAGAGGATAAAAGAGACGGGATTTAGAAAACATAACAGAAAAAAAAAGAATTGCCACTGCCATCATTTATAGCAGTCGTGAACTCGTGATTACATTACCCAGGCATCCCCAAGGAACCAAGAGCCAGGGACATTGAAATATCACTGGGCCATTCGGATACTATCCGGGCCAAGATGGGCCCGGCTGGACCCTTCGCTTTTGTTAGTGTGTGTCCTCCATCCACAATTAGCAACCACGTTCATCCGTCAGGAAATGCTGGGTCCTTGCTCTTCACTACCCTGCCAGACATGAGTTAAGATATTTATTTAGTGATATGAAATGTTTTTGGTTAAGAACAGACCTGTTTCATCACGTAGATGCAACTTAACTTACTAATGCAATTGCATAAACATGTAAATTATTCTGTGTAAACTGTGTTTCTCTTTTGCTCAAGATGTTTTTCCACTCATTTAAGTGGAAGTGTCTTCATCAGTTGATGCAACTTAAACCACATTGATGAGTAGCTGAACCGCTTGAGCAACAGATTCAGTTGCCTAGACATTTTCTGATACCATATTCAAATTATTTAACAATCTATGACTACTTGGATAAGATTTATTTCCCTTTTCACCACTGAGCATGCTTTTTGTTTCTGTAAATGTTCTGCTAAGTAAAATGAATCTACAGCATAAAAATGTAAATAAAATGTAACAGTATTATACATTACAATATACATGTATAGGATCCACGTCTTTGCCTTAACCATGATTATATGTCAGAAGCTGCACAGGCAGAGCTCTTCAAACTGGAAGTTGTTCTGAGAGAGAACAGAGCTTGCTTTTATTGTAGTGATGACAATGAACACTTGCATAACAAAACATCTTTATTGACATAAATGACGTAGCAGATTCATATAACCTCTGTACTGATATTTATGGGTGAGGTACAGTATGTCTCACCTGCACAATTAATATTGTTTACCTTGGACTTTCAATATTTAAATTGTATTATCTGCATTAAATATTAATAACAAAACATTTGTCCTTAATGTTATAAACAATCTTCTAGGAGAGGAGGTTTCAGGTACCCTGGCACCACACATTGTGGATGTAATCAGGTCATAAAATGTGCAGGGCTAAGGATCCTCAATCCCAGGAGCTGTACAGTATGCAGGGTTTATCTGACATCCAGTGCAGATTTATTCTTAATGTTAAATGTTACAATTTTCAGGATTGTTGTGAATTTCATACAACAGACATTCAAATATTATGAATTTAAGTATTCACACCTGTCTTGTCTGGTTCGATTGAATCGAACTCAAGTTGCTGCGGATCTTTTGGGAGGGCGAGAATACAGCAATCACACCAAACAACTGTACCGAGACCCAGCTGAAGAGGTGGTCTCGGTCCGCTTCCAAACGAACTCTGGTACAGTTGAATGGATGAACCAATGAATGGATGACCTTAAGCACACGAGTGGTTTTGTTTACAATTTCTGGTTCACTTGCAAAAAGGGCAGTGTGAAAGTTAACCACACACAAAAAAAAAAAAAAAAAAAAAAAAAAAAAATACAATCAACATTGTATTTGGTCCGGACAAAAGCAAGTGAACTAGTAGACTTTCCTGGTGTGAATACACGCTGTGAGTGGTAAACTTGGACATTGTTAGTTTGTGGATGAAAATTTATTTTATTTTCTTATTTGTTGTTATTTGTAGTAATATCAGATACATTTTTAATGATTTTATTTTCTTATTTGTAGCAATATCAGAGAAAATTTTAATGATTTTCTTATTTGTTGCTATTTAGAAATAGAGGAATTTTTAATGCACAGTCAGGATGACTTTGAAATGACCTCATAACCATGACATTCAGGCCCGGCTCCAGAACCAAATCACTGAGGGTGCTTCTTCAATTAGTGAGGGTGCTGTAACTATATATATATATATATATATTGGCATCAGTTGCTATAGCGCAAAGAGCGCTCCGTTCATAATTCATCGCGATCTCACAAAGATACGTTATTATCAATAAAGTTCTCTACGCTGCACAACGGATCAACACATTGTTATAATGAGATGATTCGTGCTGAACACAATACCAGAACAAAAACTCCGGCGATTTCAGTGAATTCTAACTTAAACGCCTCTGATTAAAGAAATCAACAGATATGACCGTGATTGGCT